ATAATTGTTGACTGGTTTTTTTCTACTTCTCCTGTTATCATTTGACACGCATAGCACGGCGCAACGTAATGTAAATGTTACTGAACAGAAAGTAAACGAACGCAACACGGCACAACAAGCCTAACACAGTCTACTGCGGTACTTAATATGGATGTGGAATATATGATTTTTGTAGCCCGCGGCTTGGCGGACAAATTCTGTCAAATGTAAAAGAGCTTATAATTATAAAAGGTTCGTGTGCCTGCGTGTTTCTCTGCGTGTTTGTGTATGCGTGTGTATGTGTGTGTGCGTGTTTACGTGTGTGTGTCTGTGTGTGTGTGTGCACGCATTCCACTGATACATCTGAGAGTGTATATGCATTCGTGTGTGTGTGTGGTTTGTGTGTGTGTGTGTCCTGTGTGTGTAAGTGTGTGTGAACATGAGTGTGTGTGTTCTTGTGTGTGCGTGTGTGTCTGTGTGTGAGCATGAGTATCTGTCTGTCTGTGTGTGCGTGTGTGTTTGTAAATTTGTGTTTGTTTGAAAGAATGCCTCTGATGATAATGTGTGTGCGGTTTAATAATGAATGGTCCTTTCTTATCAAAGTAGTGTTCGCAATAGAAATATTTTTTAGAACTTTTCTTCCACTGTTCGTATTTCGGCCAAAATGGATTATTTAAATTTTTTGGTATAGAAAAAATATTTGGCATTGAATGAAATGTGGATTGCTTCGATTTTTAAAGAAGGAGTATTGCATCTTTTTGCATGTTGCTGTAAGTTATTGAATAATTTATTCCTTTAAAATAATTTTTACACAAAAATTGCAGTACTTAGGTGCTTAACATCCGGTTTCTTGTAACTTAATTAACAGTAGAATCAATTTTTAATTTGGTGGAAAAGTGAAGTGTTACAGATCTTTTTAAAACACGTTCAATAATTGTTTCAAAAGTTTTTTTCTGAAAACTTAGAAAGGAAAAAATTTGATGCGTGGTCGTGTTAGAGATGTGATTGTAACATGCACACAGAGCATTTGTTAATGGTCATTTAACCTTCTAATTAACTGTCCATTCTCACACAACTCTCGTTGTTTAGTTCTGCTACTTCCTTTCTTGCAATATGGCCGCTTAGTTCAAAAGAACTTCATATTAGTTTGTTCATTCGTTTGTTGGTTTGTTTGTGTGTTCGTCCATTCTTTCGTTTGTCGGTTCATTCCTTTGTTCGTTTATTTGTTGGTTTATACTTTTGTGTTATATGTAGTAAACCTGTATAACTTTTTGCATAATTTTGCTTTCTTTTAGCTTAGGATTCATCCTCACCACCAACATCACCCTCATCACCATCGTCATCATCTTTAAGATCATCACTTCATTCTCAACCACCACCATACCATCGTTGTCGTTGTCGTCATGGTTGTGGTCATCATCGTTATTATCATCTTAATCATATAATTGGAGATGACAACGGTTTAGATAAATGCAACGATAAAGTGATTGAGTGCAGCTAATGTTCTTTTAAAGACAGGGTTCCAAATCATCAAATGATCATACAAACCACTCATTCATTCATTCACTTCTTCATCCATTCATTCACTATTCACTCATTCTTTTGTTCGTTTGTTCATTCTTTCGGTGTTCGTTCGTTTGTTCGTTCATTCATTCATTCAAACTCTTCTCCACCACAAGCAATACAGTAGTACAATTAGTCTGTTAATCCTATACTACTTATTTACTGTACACAAACACACACATACACACACACACAGCCTCACAGATAAACACACACTAATACGAAATTATTGTTTATTTATTTAATCATTTATATGTTAACTTACAAAAAATTCAAACCATTTGGTAATTTTTTCATTTAAAATTAAATTTTTGAAGTTCCAAAAAATTTATAATTTTTCTCATTTTTGTTATTTTTGTGGTTTTATTTTGTGTTTTTAACTTTCTAAATTATTTTTTTTAAGAATTGAGATCTAAATAAAAAAAATGGCTCCAAAACCTTTCTCAAAAATATTATTCTGAAATAATAAAATGCGACATTTTCACAATCAATGAAATAAAATAGAATAAATAAACAATTGAATAAATTTTTTGACAGAATGCTGAGTTGGCAAGTAAAAATATTTTTGTATTATAAGAAACTTGTTAACACACAACACACGCACACACGCACGCACACGCACACGCACACACGTGCTACATACAATATAGACGAATATTAAGAACGATATAGGTATATGTATTTATTTCTTCAATATAATTGTATACATACAGCAAACATACAAACACATGCACCCATACACATATATACATACATACAGTGTCCGAGGTCAATATAGTTTTGTCTGGTGTGCCCCAAGGTTCGGTTCTGGGTCCTGTTTCTTCTGTATACATCTGAGGTATTCAAAGTGGTCGAATCATTTGGTTTCTCATACCATGCATTTGCGGATGACATACAAATCATTGTTACCAGTAAGCCTGGTACTTTCCGGGCCGAATTGGACAGATTGGTTGAATGTTTATCAAAGGTTGATTTGTGGATGCAAAACAATGCTCTTAAACTGAATCAGAGTAAAACGAAATTTTTGCTGGTAGGTACGTGGCAACAGCTTTTGAAGCTAGAAACTGATTCAATCATTATCAAAAACAGTGTCATCCCGTTTTGCCAAAAAGCTACTAGTCTGGGATTTATTCTAGATTCCAATTTGTCAATGAAAGATCACATTAGAATGCTTTCCGTTGAATGCATGTACCAAATAAGAAAGCTCAATCAAATACGTAGATCTCTTGACACTACTACGTTGCAGACTCTGGTTCATGCCTTCGTGCACTCACGAATTGATTATTGTAATAGCCTGTTTTACGAATTACCTGATAAACATTTAGCTGTATTACAGTCATTGCAGAATCGTGCTGCAAAGGTTGTTGTCGGCGGTTTAAAATATGATCACGTATCACCAATACTGAAACAACTGCACTGGCTAACCGTAAAAAAAGAATAATCTTCAAAATATCAACTCTAGTCTACAAGTCAATAAATCGTCTTGCACCACCTTATTTGTCGGAAATGTTTGCAAAGAAGTTGGCACCTCCTTCTGGAACGCATCTGAGGTCTCATGATCTGAACTTGCTGCTAGTCCCAGTTTCGTGTCTTCATATGGGGTCTCGTAACATCGCCGTCTTGGGACCGTCTGTTTGGAACAATTTGCCTGCCTTTCTAAGAGATCCGGAGTTGAACCTGCCTGATTTTAAAAGAAAACTGAAAACTTACTTATTTTCGTTGTAATTCATTGAACTGACTTGTTTTAGCTATAACGGAGTGATTTATTTTGTTTATTGTGCCATGTTAGATTAAGGAAATAATGAAGACTGTTTTTTTTTTCTTAAAATTTTTTCGTTGAAATGCACTGATAACTCTTTATATATGTTGATTATGCCATGATATATTTTTTTTTATCCTTTTTTGAGATCCTTTGAATTAGCGCTTTATTAAATTTTTCATTAATAATAATAATAATACATATATATATATATACATATCTTTATATAACTCATATACGAATTAAATATCAGTGTTTAAACATGAAATTACAATGAACCACACACACACACACACACACACAAACACATACACAAACACACACATATACATACAAATATAAACACACACATACATATACACACACTCAATTTACACACACACACACACATCAGCCTAAATAAAAACATTGACGATAATGTTAACCATGATCACAAAAACAAAACATTTTTCTATCTATGCCCGAATTGTTGCAAACTATATTTATTTCTAATAATTTCTAAATAAATATTAAATTATATATAAATAGATATATATATATATATATATATATATATATATATATATATATGTATATGTGTGTTTATGTGTGTGTGTGTAAGTGTGTGTATAAGTGTATGTAAGAATGTACGTGTTCTTTTAAAAATATTATTATGATAAATTGTTAAGAATGCAATTATTGAAATATAGATATATAGTGGGAGTATTGAAAACGAAAAATAAATAAAAAATATAGATAAAATGTCTTTGATATAAGATTATTTATGTAAGATACCATTGACATACATAAGATATCATTGACATACATAAGATATCATTGATACACGTAAGATATCAATGATGCACGTAAGATATCATTGATACACTTAAGATGTAAAATATCATTACGTGTTTAAAGTGTGATAGCATAATCAATAAAATCAACATCAGCGGTCGATAATTAAAAAATAAATTTTAATTTTAAAACGCTAACAATTCGGTAAAGATAACAAAACAACTACAATAACAATAATAATAATAACGTTGATGATGGTTATGATGAAGATGATGATGATGATGATGATGAAAAAGAAGAAGAAGATGATGATGATGAGGAGGATGAGGATGATGATGATAAAGAGGATGATGATGATGGTGATGATAAAAATGATGATGGTGATGATGAAGATGAGGATGATGATGATGATGATGGTAACCACCATAATAACAATAATAATAGCAGTGAACTTAATTGTCTAGGACACGGCTATCTTAGGCGACCCTTCACCCTCTCGATAGTTCATACCCATCGGTGGCAACTGTCTGTGGTGGTGGGGGTGGTGAGGGTGGTGGTGTGGAGTATGCGATGGTGGAACGTGGGATGGCGGGAGATTCTGAACAAAAAGTCTAGAAAAGAGAGGATGAGATAGTTGCGGTGATTGCTGCTGCTGCTGCTGCTGTTGTGGCTGTGATGGCGGTTGTGAGTGCGGGAACCCATGAAGACCCAGGAGTGATGAAGAAGATGAAGATGACGATGAAACGGAAGAGTGTGGCGAGTGAATGTTGTTGCTACTATTGTTGGTCAGCACGATGCCGTTGCTTATATTACTGTTGCTGTAGTGTAGTTGTTGCTGCTGCTGTTGTTGCTGGTGGTGGTGGTGGCGAAGTAACATGGCGTCCATGTTGGTGATGAGTCCTGTGGTGTGCGGGTCGTAGGCGGCCCAGTAGGGATTCGTTTGGAGCATTCTTTGCACAGCCGCATAGTTTCCTGCTTCTGCCAGCAACTCCAAGCCAACTGCTGTCTGTCGCTTCCATTTCGTCCTAAAGGTAGCATCAAATACGGTTTTGCTTGAGTGCACACAATGACGTTTTACAATCATGCAACATGAAACGAATTCAAATTAAATTTCATTCATCATCATGATGATAAAAATGAGACCTTCGATTTTGGTACCAAGTTTTGACTTGCGTGTCACTGAGATTCAACTTGGCGGCGAGCTCCATCCTGTCCTGCACACTGAGATACTTCTGCCTCTCGAAACTTTGCTCCAGCGTGTTCAGCTGGTGGTCGGTGAAGGCCGTGCGTGCCTTGCGAATCTTCTTCGATTTGTGGCTGGATGGATCGTTCGATGGCGAGTTGAAGGAGAGGTCGTCTTTGTTGTGGTCATCTGCTTGCGGTTTCAAGATGGATGCATGGATGGATGGAGAAATGAATTATTTATGGCTAATTAGATAAACGGGTTTATGGATAAAAAGATGAACATTTAAATAAATAGATAAATGAATGAATGAATGAATGAATGAATGAATGAATGAATGAATGAATGAATGAATGAATGAATGAATGAATGAATGAATGAATGAATGAATGAATGAATGAATGAATGAATGAATGAATGAATGAATGAATGAATGAATGAATGAATGAATGAATGAATGAATGAATGAATGAATGAATGAATGAATGAATGAATGAATGAATGAACGAATAGTTGAACCGATGTGCATATGCGATGATATAAGAAAACAAATTATTGACGAGAAAATTATATTAATATTTAAATTTACACGGGGATGAAACGAAATGTGAATTGAAAATAAATTACATAATCACAATCGGTTGGTAGTTTTGCCGTTGAGGTTTAAAGGAGTAGTTCAATTTTTTAAAATTTGTTTAACTGACTAACTGCAAGTTGATTAAAATGAAAAAATGACTAAAATATCGAGAAAATAAATAATTGTTAAATGGGTAACAAATTTTGACAACTCAATTGACAATTGATGACTTGCCAGACATAAAACAATATGACACAAACAAACGAAGAAACGCAAAAACGTATTAAGACGTAGATAGAAACAAATCTAAATGAACCTGATAGCATTTAATTACAGATCTCCTCACCATACATACGCCACACAAAATACGACTCATGGGTATATTTGCGTTACAGAACCAATTTGTCAAAACAACAACAGGATAAAGAAATACATCACAAATGACATGAAGACAATGAAGCCTGACATCAATAAAACAAACAAAAACATTAACAACAAATTAAACAACAGTAACATCAACAGTCTCAGCTCCTCAACAACAACATCAACAACAGCACTAACAACAACAATACAACAATATTATTGCCATCTTCACACGCACCAATAAACAATACTTCAGCCAACGATCTGACATTGTATTTTTATTATTTCGTCTTTCTTTTCGGTTTTATGAAATTAATCACCTTAACTTACTAGAGAAATTTAATTACAACTTAATTGTTTATTAAGCGTATTTGTTATTTAATTAAAAAAAAACTACTTAAATATATTTTTCTATGTTATGTAACGTCTCAACTTTTTGAATAAATATTTAATGCTTGAATGTACAAATGGCTTTCAATAAATAGCTCTTCTATACATTTTATTGATTTAAGTTGTATATAAATTCACATTCACGGGTTAGTGTCTGAGATATACATATCATATAGCGTTCTGTCTCAAATAAAATATAAACAAATTCAATATAAACAACATTAAAAAGAACAGCATAAACAAGACATACTAATAAACATACAAATAATCATACATAAAAATATAAAACAAATATAAACAGAGAAACCACATGAAACACGTACAAAAATTACAATCCAGTAAATCAATTTCTGTACAATGAGCTATAGTAGCTTCAAGTTAAGTAAATAGAAAATTTCTGAAACCAGGAATGACAATTTCCTCCTTGTAACGATCCGAAAGATGTTTTGAATGCTCGTTTGTTTTACCGCTATTATCATACACGCACTCTCCCACACACGCACACGCACGTAAACATCTTAAACCTAATTTACAAAGTGTTTATTAATGTAATTAATTATATAAGACATAAACATACGCTACTATGACGAATCAAAATTTTTCTAAATTAAAAGTCTCAGCATTTGTTTTTAACTGACTAATTTGCAATTATTTGTTTGAAATAAAGGTGTAAAAATTGACAATTTATCATCTAACTTTGCCGGATTCTATAGGTGGCGTGTGAAATTTTCTAAACACGCACACGCACGCACGCAAGCACTCAAATCTTAGTTGTCAGTCAATTTAAAATATGAATGAATGAATGATTGATTGATTGATTGATTGATTGATCGATCGATCGATCGATTGATTGATTGATTGATTGATTGATTGATTGATTGATTGATTGATTGATTGATTGATTGATTGATTGATTGATTGATTGATTGATTGATTGATTGATTGATTGATTGATTGATTGATTGATTGATCGATCGATCGATCTATCGATCGATCTATCGAACGAACGAACGAACGAACGAACAGACGAACGAATGAATGAAAGAGGGAATGAAGGAGGAAGTGAATAAATGAATGCTAACTAACCATGTGATGAGTTTGCGTCATCTTCCTCATCATCCTCATCAACATCAACATCGGCATCGTCATCATCGTCATCCTTTTTTTCCAATGATGCCAAATAATTTTTCCAATGCGTTGGAATGATGCTATTGCTCGAAGCACCGTTGTGATTGTTGTTGTTGTTATTGTTATTATTATTATTATTATTGTTGTTGATATTGTTGTTGTTATTGTTGTTGTTGTTTTCAATGTTGTTTACTGAGTTGTTGTTGCTTAGGCAAGCTTTCATCACGTTCAATCCATCGTTATCAGCATGATTTGAAAGGTTATTAAAACTATTTTCGTCGTTGCTATTGTTGTTGTTGTTGTTGTGGTTTTTAAACTTATTGATGACGTCATCGTCAGATGAAGGACTATCTAGTATCTTTTGATTGACGCGATTTGTGGGTTGTGGCTGATGTTGTTGCTGCTGCTGCTGCTGATGATGATGGAGGTTGAAATTGATTAACGAAGAAACCATACTTGGTTGATATTGAAAATTGTTGCTGTTGCTGTTGTTGTTGGTGTAGTTGGGCTGATGGTGGTGGTGGTAGAGAGAGTAAGGTAAGGGAGGAAAACATGGGTGGAACTGGGGGAAGTTGTTGTTGTTGTTTGTGTTGTTGTTGCTGTTGTTGGTCATGTTGTTGCGGTTGAAGTTGACCGGGGACGAGGTGTGAGGGGGTTCTTGTCGCTTGGGGGACGTCGGTGGTGACGTAATCTGATAAGATGCAAGTTTGTTGTTGTTGTTGATGATGTTGTTCAATTGGTTGTTGTGATTTTCATCGCCGTTGTTCTTGATATTGTTGCGATTGTTGTTGTTGTTGTTGTAGTTGCTGTTTTCAATGAAAAATTTTCGACGTTCGACCTGTGCCTGTTGTGCCATGTAGAAGTACGGTGATTTGTGAAAGTTGTTGTTGTTGTTTATGTTGTTGATGACGTCATCAAAACTGAGGTCAGCTTTTTTGAGGTCATTCGATGCTTTCATGTCAACGTCATTTCCATTGCGGGTGTTGAAGTATGGGGGTAGGAAACTGTTGCGGCTGCTCTTCAAACTTTCCATCCATCCATTTTTCTTATCCAAATTTTGGCGGAGTAGAAATGCCGGAAACGGAAATTGTGTGATGAGTGATGCGGGGAACGATGATTTTGATGCTAGTGTTGATGTGGACAATGACGAAGATGATGACGTAGATGACGATGACAGTATGTTACTGATGAGGAAGCATGTTGATTTGTTTGACTTGCTAGTTGACATCGGCACAGTTGCATTGATGTCATCTTGATGTTGTACTGTTGTTGTTTTTGTTGTAGTTGATGTTGTTGTTGTTGTTGGTGCTGTTGTTAATGTTTGAAAACACTGTGATGCTGCGAATTTTGCGCTGTCATAATTAGCGTAGTTCATGTCAGCGGCGTCGTTGTTTTTTTCGCATTCATTATTATTATTAATGTCATAATTGTTGTTATTGTTATTATTGTTGTTATTGTTGTTGTTGCAAGTGTCAAAACAATCTGATCTGCTGGCGTTATTGTCGTTACGTGAGATGTTGATCATTTTATTTTTGCAGGAATTGTTGTAGTTGACGTGGCTTTTGTGAGTACCTTTGTTGGATATTTTGTGTCTGTTGTTGTCGTTGTTGTCGATTTTGTTGTTGTTGATGTTGTTGTTATTAATGTTTTTGTTGGTGCTAATGTTGTTGTTGCTGTCTTTTTGATTGTAGTTGTTGGAGGATGACAATTTATTCACAATATTTTCTTCATCAAAGCTTTTGTTGATATAGTTGTTGTTGTTGTTGTTGTTGACGATGTTGTTGCTGTTGATGTTGTTGTTTATATCATTGTTAATGTTATTTAGATTGTTGATAATCATCTCGTTACCGGCTTTACTTGTTGATCCCGAAACTGATACTACAGTGGTCGCGTCATGTTTTATAAATTTGAAGACATCAGCGTTGTTGTTAGCGCTGTTGCAGTTGTTGTTAGTGTTACAATTGTTGTTGTTGTGAGTGCTGACATTGCAGTTGCCGTTGTTTGTGTTGCTGATGTTGTTGTTTGTTGTTGACTGGAGAGCAACTACTTCTGATTTCATTGCGTCTGGCGTCGGCTGCTAGTTGAGTTGAAATTTGAAAAACTTGCAAAATTGTTATTCTAATTTTTTTGTTCGTTCGCTTGTTAATTAATTAACAAATCACATAAGTGTTTATCATGTTGTATTACATCGTAGGAGATCTGAAAATTAATTTTAGTTTAGACTCTCTCTCTTTCGACCAATTAAATTATCGTCATTATCGACATTGTGGGGTTCCTGGTTAGTTAGTTGAATCTCAGCCAAGCAGTTAACGAGTTGAACATTTCAAGCGTCTTAATGCTTTTGTAAGAGTCGCAAATTTTCGAAGTAACGCTCGAACTTTTGATAACCTTAATTAGTCGGCTAAAACGAGAAATAAACATCCAATGAATTAATAATTGAGTAAGCGGAAACTGACAGTAAATATTGAACAAGATGTGTGGGGCAGAAGAAATAAATCTCCAATTTATACCTCAGTAGAAAGCCCAACAACAACAAAAAAATAAAGTGAACACTTTTGCTCTAATAGCATCCATCCATTCATAAACCATTCGGTTAAACGTCGTTTCCACGTACCGACCAATCAGCTCTCAGCATTCAACATGCTGTCACGCTATTGGCCAATTTAAAATACAGGCCACGCCCGCCTAAAAATGTACAA